GACATAGCAGCGATCCTTTGATACGATTTTGGCCCCTTGATGCTCGAGGAGCTGCCGGGGAGGCATATGTTGGCACGAGATGGCTAGCTGCAAGAATCCTATACGACATGTACCATGTCATGATGGAGTTTGACATAATTTCGAGCCTTCGGATAGAGATGTTCAGCTTCAAATTCATTATACAATCCAAATTCAAGTCTCGAATAGTTTGTGTACGAGCTTCCAATATTGTATGATTGTGAATTCTCCGGAATCACTATAATTAGCATATACGCTTTGCATATTAACAAGGCATAATACCAATTTGCTTCAAGTAATAATAGAAGAAAGGCATAATACTAATTCGTGCACTAACTCAAAATAAGTTGAATCGTTCTCAAAATTCTAAAATTGTAGTTAATCCTTCTGTTGTGAAGAAAATTTTCCATATCAAATTAGTCTCCCCACTTAAAAAAGAGTATCGAATTTTGCTTTGAGAAAGCACGATGGTGCAAGACATCTTTGCTTTAAGAAAGCAAGATCGTCAAAGACATCCCCACTTAAAAAAGAGAAACGAATTTTGCTTTAAGAAAACAAGATCGTGCAAGACATGCAAGACTCCAACTTGACGTAATAGGATTGGTCTCTCTCTCGCACACACAAGTTCGTGAGGTCGTAAAACCCCTTGAGATATCCCATGTCCACGCGCATCACATGTTTTGCTCATGTATAGTTAGATTCTCAACTCTTGTTGATTCTTATAACTTGCAATATTTAAAACATGATTGATAAAAGTATTCGGAATAGTATGGGCTAATTTTATGATAACAATCAGTAGGACCACATGAGTCTTAAGTGCTCGGTTTTTTTAATGAAAAACGGTCAACAATTTTATTTAAATCGAGCAAGAAGATATGATTGTATTAAACGCATGCACCTTTTCAGCCTTTAATAATTGGCGGATGAACTACAAATTAGCGCATTAGTTGGGAGGTCATGGTCCTCGGAGGGGTCAAGTCCTTAATGCCATGCTTGATCGTGCAAGACATCTTTGCTTTTAGCATATATGGGACCGATTTTTGGTCACTATTGGTGAACATGACCCAATAATTGTTTCAGCATATACGTAGCCTTCCTCGCTCAAGGCCGATGAGGTCGAACCTCGCTAGATACTAGCGAGGTGACCTCGCCCCTATGAGGGCGAGCCTCGCTAGAGGCCAGCAAGGCACCGGTCCTCGCTTGTGGCCGTTCGCCGACCATCAAGGAGGCTAACGACCGTGGAGGAAGAAGGAAAAAAAAACTAAAAAATTATAAAAAAATTCAGAAAATTAATAAAAATTTACAAAAAATTGTCCACGTCAGTATCGGTGGTGCCACGTTGGACAGCCGACGTTCACGTCAGTAATTTCTGGCCAAAATTGCCTAGATGGACTACATTGGCAAATTTTCAAAAGATTTATGACTCAATTAGCCAAATTAAAAGGTTTATGAATTTTTGGGTTAATATCACGAAAAACCGTAAACTTGTATACATGTGATAAATTTACCCCAAACTATTTTTTTTATCACAAAAAACCCCAAATTGGTACACCTGTAACAATTTTACCCCGAACTAATTTTTTGAAATTGGTGCACTTACGACAATTTTATTTCGAACTAATTTTTTGACCACCAAAAACCCCAAACCGATACACCTATGACAAATTTACCCTCAATTAGTTTCCGTTAAACTTTACCGTCAAATTGATAAGTTTGATAACACGTGGTAGTTGACAGGTGTACCAGTTTGGATTTTTACCCCTCTATTTGTCACAGGTTTACCAATTTGTGATTTTTCGTGATATTAATCCAATTTAATGGACACTAACGGAGGGTAAATTTATCACAAATGTGCCAATTTGGGGTTTTTAGTGGTCAAAAAATTAGTTTTGGGTAAAATTATCAAAGGTGTACCAGTTTTGGATTTTTAATGGTCAAAAAATTAGTTCAAGGTAAAATTGTCACAAGTGTATCAATTTAGGATTTTTGATGGTTAAAAAATTAGTTCGGAGTAAAATTATCACAGGTGTACAAGTTTGGGATTTTCATGGTATTAATCCGGAATTTTTTTGGTAATTTCCCCATTAAAAATCAGTTCCAGATCCCAATGTCCAAACCTGCACTGCCATTCCTCTTCAAAGAGAGGCGAAACATAGGCAATAAGCACACGGTTACAACCCTGTCTAGGAAGGATCATCCGACCATCCCAAACCACCTAAAATTAAGAAACCTCGAGTTACCAAAGTAAGTATAAATAGCTCAAAAATAAACATTTGATGGATAAAAATTGCTCATACCTAAATTTTGCCCAAATGTTGTTTTCATAAGTTTTTAAAAATTGGATTTGGTTTTCCTCCAAAAAAAAAGTTTATTGCAATTAAAGAATTTTATAAGCATATACAGAATTTTGACAAATAGGATTAGGTTCCTACGAATTTATTTCGCAAAGAAAAAAAGAAAGAGGGAACCTCTGAGAAAAAAACACACACGGCAGAATCCATCTTGGTTCTCCTGCTCGCTTCGTTAAAGCCACACCACCTCCCTTTTTCTACAACCACCATCATCAGCATCAAACCCACGCCCACAGACTTGTTGATTGTCGCCAATCACCACCATCTTTGATCTGCCCAATCCCCTACAAATCTATTCTAGTCGTAGCTCCATCGATTGAAAAGATAAATGAAAATCTAGACATGATTCCAATAGACATGTACACTACAATAGAGGTTAATGAATGAAAAATCACAATATGAATGAAATGATAAAAGTTGGACGAAAGTTATAGTGTTGTTAATTTTACGCAAGAGAACAATAATCGATACTAATTGTCAAAAAATATTTCATTCAAACAAAAAAAATAGAACCCATGTAACGCGTGGAAATTCTACTGATAGAAGAGGAGGTGTGTGGAAAGCGAAGCAACAAAGCCAATTTGCGCCTCCATAAGTCTTGGTCTTCCTGGATTTTATTAAATTTTATTTTGGGATAAAAACAGCAGGAGTGCCATAACTTGCGAACAGTGCTCACTTGAGTAACATAACTTTTCTTCACTCATTTAAATGCCACAAATTTAAAAAATCGATCACTTAAGTGTCATTGGCGATTTGCCTTGCTAAAAAATCCGACGTGGACATCGGTTGTCTTACGTGGCATTGCCGACACTGACATGGACCAATTTTTATTTTTTTGAATATTTCATTTATCTTTTGCTTTTTTTTCTTTGTTTTTTTCTATGCCGGCGAGGGTCACCGACGACCCTCGCCGGCCACAAAGGTCTCACCCGCAGCCAATGGGGCCGCGAAGTCCTTGGGCGAGGCCACTGGCTAGGGCCTTCACGGCCCCACCAACCACGGGTGAGGTAGCCTTGCACAGATCTGGGAAGGGCCTTCGCGACCTCGCCCGCAGCCAGTGACGCCGCCATGGCCCTGTGCAAGCCCTCGTGACCTTGCCTGCTGCTAGCAAGGGCATAAAGGCCCTAGCCAAACTAGGCGAGCCTGCCTCACCCGCGGCTGGCGGGGCCGCGAAGGCCCAAGCTCGCTGCCAACGATGGCCTTACCCAGGGCCTTCGCGACTCCCCCGGCCGAGGGTGCGGCCTTCGCAGCTGGCAAGGACCGCCATTGACTCTTGCCGGCACAAAAAAAAAAAAAAGCAAAGAAATAATAGGAAAAGAAAAATAAAAAATTCAAAAGATTAAAAAAATCCACATGGGATGGAAAATTTAGTAAAATATCCACATAGAACGATTTGCCAGAAATGGCACTCAAATAATCGATTTTACTCCAATGTGGCACTTAAGTGAGCGAAAAAAAAAGATGTAGCAATATCTGTTGAAGGGTGATGATGAGTTAGTAGTTGATGATCAGGAATCGCTTGATAGGAGAATCATGGTCCTTTAAACATTGATTTTCCTGTTTGTAAGTGCGTTGCATAAAGTATAATTTTCAATAGATTAGACACTGTTAGTTGGTGATTTGTGATTCGTTTACCAATTCTGGATCAAAACAAAGGAAGTTGCTTAATGGATTAGTTGGGATTGGTGTGCTTAACCCTTTTGCTTGTTTGGCGATGAATGAATCGGACCACAATTATTAGGACTACAATTTTTAGGACCGGCAAATAAGCATCTTTGTGTAACTTGCACCGACTAAAATAAACGATTTGAAACCTAAAATATTGAGGATACACCCAACAATGGAATCTTATTTTCTGTGGTACATCTGCAAGTCATCAAAGACGGCTAACTTTGTCCGTTCAATAAGGAAAATAAAAACACATACTTTGGGCGAAACAAGAAAAAAGGTCGGGCACACCAACTAATCCATTAAGCAACTTGCGTTATTTTACTCTGTAATTGGTAAGGGAGTCAAAAATTACCAACTAACAATATATAATCTACTGCAAGTTATTATGTACGCATCACATAATTAACACGATTTATCAAGGCGATTCCCGATTATCAACAACTACCTCAGCACCTTTTGGTAGATCATCGCCGTCCATCTTGCTACGAATTGTTGGCACTATAACTGCAACGTAAAAGCCTTCATTGATCTCACATTCACCAATAAAGCAGAAAACAAAGACATCGAAATCATAAGGATACTGAGAATATACGGATGCAAAAACAAAAAGCCAACAAAATACTAATGAAAACACTTCTGATGAAAATATGCATGCACTCTAAGTTGGTCGCATGAAGAGTCTGTCTGGATGGCCAAAAGTGAAGGTTCAACAGCCAAAAGTCTTTGATTTGAAGATAAAGGAGAGCAATTGACGAATCAAGCACTTGCGGACAAAAATTATTTTATTTTGATTTGTCTAACCTTTGTTGTGCATCCCTTGAAGGTCTTGGTCTTTTTTTATACTTTTTGTAGGTGAACGTCTTGATCTTCCTGGACTTCATAGTTTTCTCTCTCCATTAGCTCATTTTCACTTTGCTCACCATAACACTTTTGTTGTTCTCAACAGTGACTGATTCACCCATGGCCATCGGAGAGATCGTTTTGGGTTCCTTCTTGGCTTCCTTCTTTCAGGTCCTGTTCGACAAATTGACTTCTCTCACATTGGGCTATGCGCAACAGGAAGGAATTAGCACCACCCTGTTCGAGAAGTGGAAGGGGATGCTGGTCACAATCAATGCAGTGCTGGCTGATGCAGAGGACAAGCAACTCAGTGGTAACCCTTTAGTGAAGCTGTGGCTGGATGATGTTAGGGACTTGGCCTATGACATGGAAGACTTGCTCGATGAGTTTGCGATCAAAGCCGCTCAGGTTGAGTCAGAGGCAAAATCCAGCACAAGTAGAGGTATGGAGAAATGGAAGTTCTCTTTCTTTGGCCAAGATAAATCCTCTAGATTGAATCCAAACCCACACTTGCTAGTGTTTGAAACCAAGGTACAAGAGATCATTGGCAGGTTGAAAGCAATTGTCACGACGAAGGATCATCTAAGCTTGAGAGAGAATGTTGTGGACAGATCCAACTACACCAACAAAAGGGTTCCCACCACTTCTTTGCCGGAGCCTTGGTTTTTTGGTAGGGAGAAGGAAGAAGCAGAGATACTCGAACTATTGATCAGTGAGGCCAAAAATTCTGATGCCGTGCTGAGCATACTCAACATAGTCCCCATAGTTGGGATGGGCGGTGTTGGAAAGACAGCCTTGGCTCAACAGCTGTATAATGATGCCAGAGTGAAAAGTTGTTTCGAGAGGAGAGCATGGGTTTGTGTGTCAGATGTTTTTTACGTTTTTGACATAACGAAGGCTATTTTACAGTCGATCACTGGGTTGTCTTGCGAGGGTGAAGATCTTAACGAGCTTCAAGTTAAGTTGAAGGATAGTCTCTATGGAAAGAAGTTTCTTGTGGTTTTAGACGATGTTTGGAATGAGGACTATGGAAAATGGACCGAACTCTTCAAGCCATTTGAAGCGGGGGCTAAGGGAAGCAAGATCATTGTCACGACTCGAAACCTTCCCGTCGTTCCCATGAGAGGAGCTTTGCCGTATCCTTTGGAGGAGTTGTCCCTTGATAATTGTACAAGCTTATTAGCCTTTCATGCTCTTGGAGCAACAAATTTTGAGAGCCACCCAGATCTTGAAGCAACGGGCAAGAAATTAGCTGAAAAATGTAAAGGCTTACCCTTGGCAGCAAAGATGTTAGGCGTTGCCCTATGTAATGAAAGAAATCCAGATAAATGGGAAGCTATCTTAAATAACAAAATATGGGATCTTCCGAAGGGGAAAAAAAGATGAGGTTCTCCCTGTTTTGAAATTGAGTTATGTCCATCTTCCTCCTTATTTGAAGAGATGTTTTGCTTATTGTGCCGTATTTCCCAAGGATTACGAAATTGAGAGGGATGAGCTCGTACTCTTATGGATAGCAGAGGGCTTTTTGGATGGACAAAAGGCAAAGAAGGATATCTTGAGACTGGGAAGGGATCACTTTGATGAATTAGTATCTAGATCATTTCTTCAACAATCAAGGGTCGACACATCTAAGTTTTCAATGCATGATCTTTTGAATGATCTTGCAAAGTCAATTGCGGGTGGTATATGCTTTACCTCAGGAAATTCTCAGCTAGAAAGTGATGAAGATCATGCATTTCTTGAGAAAGCTCGTTATGCATCATTCATGTCGTCGTATTTTGTTACATCAAAATGCTTGAGAGCATATCATGAAATGAAGGTACTGAGAAGTTTAATTCTAGTGCGTGTTGGATCTACTTGGGGCTCAATAAGATTCTCTATTTCCAACAAAGTGCTACATGACTTGCTACTAAAATTGAAATACTTGAGGGTGTTCTCATTATGTCATTGTTGCATCACAGAGGTACCGAACTGTGTTGGTGATTTAAAACATCTTCGATATCTCAATTTCTCGTACACAAGTATTAAAAGGCTACCCGAGTCGATTGTTGCTTTGTGCAAATTACAAGCTTTGATCTTAAGAGGTTGTCAAAAGCTTTCTATGTTGCCTCCAGGTATCACAAAAATGGTCAATTTACAGTTTCTTGACATTAGAGATACAGAAAATCTAAAAGAGATGCCATTGGGTATCAGTAATTTGAAGAATCTTACTATCTTGTCCAAGTTTGTGGTAGGACCAGAGAAAGGTTCACAATTAAAAGAGTTAAAGAACTTATCACATCTTCAAGGAGATTTATTTATATCGGAATTGCAAAAGGTGGAAGAAGTTAGAGATGCTGTTGATGCTAATTTGTTTGGAAAGCAAGGCCTTAGCAACTTATTATTGCATTGGGGTGAAGATTTTGGAAGTTTACGGAATGATAAGCACGAAGCACGAGTGCTTGACTCTCTACGACCTCACACTAATCTTGAAAATCTCACTATCTCGAACTATGGCGGTATGAAATTCCCATCATGGTTAGATGGTCCATCCTATTTTAAGATAGTGTCTTTGTGCTTCCAAGACTGTCCTTATGTTATATCATTGCCCCCACTTGGACAACTACCTTCACTTAAAGAATTATCTCTTGAAGGTCTACATGCAGTAAGAATGATAAGCTCTGAATTTTACGGAGGTAAAAGGCCTTTCTCATCCTTAACAACTTTGAAGTTCAAAGAGATGTTGGCATGGAAGGATTGGTCTCATTATGCCGGGGGCCCAGAAGAAGTGCCATTCTCTTGTCTTCAGCATCTTGTTGTCCGGAGCTGTCCTTCGTTGATCGGGATGGTGCCTTCTCAACTTGATCGTCTCATAAAGCTTGAAATTCATTCATGCCCACAGTTGAATATCTCAACCAGTGTAGTTTGTCTTCCATCTCTCCGTGAGTTATACCTTGAGGATTGTAACAAGGAGGTTTTAAAGAGCTTGGTCAACCTAACTTCTTTAACCACTCTCAAAATTGCAAATCTTTCGGAGCTCGTTTGCTTTGATCATGACTTTATGAGTTGCTTGGTTAATCTAAAGGAGCTTCATATAGGAGAATGTGACAAACTAACATATTTGTGCCAGGATGGAAACGAAATGCGAAATCTCACTTACCTCCAAGAATTAGTCATCACAAGGTGTCCTCGATTCATATCTTTTGTGGCTGGAGAAGGAGAAATAGAGCTACCATGCAACCTTGAAAGGATGGAATTGAGGTTTTGCACGAGTTTAGAAAAGCTTCCAAGCAAGATGCACACACTTAGAGATTTGAAGATTGAGAATTGTCCAAGACTCACGAGACTAACCATTTCTCCAAGTGACCCTAGCAGCAATAACTCGATGTCTCAACTTGAATATCTATGGATAGGTCAATGTGATTCTCTGACATCCTTTCCGTTTGCTGATGGTAGACTTGCTGCTCTGAAGACACTTCACATTGAAAGCTGTAACAATCTGGAAAGCCTACCACAGTGCCTTCATAGGCTCTCCCATCTCACTGAATTGGAAATAAAGAAGTGTCCAGCATTGGAGATAGAGTACTTCCCTACCCTTCCCATCTCCTTGTCGACTCTCACACTTTGGGATTGTCCACAGATAAAGTCTCTACCAAATCATCTTATATCTCTCCAGAGGCTACGAATTTGGGGATGCCAAACTATCAAATGCTTCCCCAAAGGAGGTCTGCCTCCCAATTTGCGGTCCCTTGTATTAAGAGGGTGCGATAATCTAAAACAGCCAGTGAGAGAATGGGGCTTACCCATGATCACATCCCTCACTTTTCTATCGCTTGACTTGAGCATGGGAGGTGAGGGAGAGATGGTGTGGTTTCCTTCGGAAGACGAGGAAGCGTGGAGTCTTCTCTTTCCTTCCTCTCTAGAGTATCTTTTTATTTACAATATGAGGAACGTGGAAAGACTATCAAGTGGTCTTCCCAACCATTTCTCCTCTCTCAAAGTGTTAGGGATTAGGAATTGCCCGAAGTTGAGGTACTTGCCAGAGGATGGCCTACCTCCCTCCCTCCAACGATTGCTCATATATGGATGCGAGTTTCTGAAAGATCGATGCTCAAAACTCAGTGGCGACTATTGGCCCCTCATCCAAGACATCCCTTACATCAAGATTGACAACGATTGGATCCAGTGAATTGATTCTTCCATGTACAATCAGTTTTTAGGGTCCGGGTAAGTTTTTCGGTTTTGAAGGCATCAATTTTGATTATGCTTCCTCAATTCGATGGGTAATTCAAATTGATATTTTCCAATGAAGATGTTTCTCGTTAATTTCCAAAAACCAGCCGCCGCTGAAGGTCAAAGATTGTCATTTGGGTGGTGTTCTCGTTGGGATGGATCGGCTCTGTTTCGTTGGACAATATCTTGAACTCTGCCTGATGCCCAAACAAATTGTGAATGAAAAGGCACTATGCTTTGCATGAGAATCACGAAGAATCATAGCGTTTCGCAATCATGTTCTTCTTCGTTTTCAGCGTTTGCCGTGGGTTCTCTTACAAACATCTTTTTTCTTGTGCCCTAGCTCATTCACTAGCGAACGCTTTTGAGGTTGGACTAATGCTGTCAATGTTATGTGTCATTTTTTGCAATTTAACTAAAAAATAGAAGAAGAGTTTAATTTTATTTGGTGCACTGGTATGTTCTAAATTTCCTTCTAGTAAATATGATCTAGATAAGAATAATCTTTTCAAAATCTAAAAACATGATTAGTTATGTGGAAACTGTGATATGATTGTGAAGAAAGGGGGATGCAGTTTTTTTGTTTTAATGGTTTTCTTAAGAATCAGAACCTTCTTTTTGTTGATGATGATCCTTCACAGTATTAAGCAGTCAATCTGGGATAAAATTCTGGGGCGGCTCATGGCTCCAAGCTTTCAATACTACTCCTATTCATGACAGCATTGATATTCCATAAATCACCTTCCGCTTGGGTCTTGATCTCTAGTGGGTTAGGAACTATTGCTTCTGGCTTGCTAGAAATTTTTAGCCAATATACTTATGCTTGTTTGCTTGCGATGGTAACTATACGCTGCCTACCTCTGTGTTTGCATTGTCAGCAGTGACCTCTGGAGCAAATCTATTCAGTTCTTTAAAGTATCAGTTGTTTGCGTTTACTCCACCGCAAAATATGATTTCGTCATCCATTATGTCATTTTACCTCCTTCATATGTGGCATTCTTCCTGCAGGGACTTCTGGAGCAAAAGCTTTGAGCTCACTTGGGTTCCTTTGTTGTAACTAGAAATCTTGCGCTTCAACCAATGTATATTTTGTCTGGGACATCTCTTCCCTCTCTGCTACTGTTGCATATGTAAATTTTTTGCTGAAGCAATTTTCGTGCGACATTGTGATGCTCTATTAGAGGTTAGTTAATGTGTAATCTGAATTTTGGTTCACCATGTACTTGCTCTGAGGCTTTTTTTATTGTTATTGCACTTATAACATGGTGCTTTGACCATATAAATAGGTGGTCAAAAAGCAGAGTTGCATTTGCCAAGATAACTTTCAAGAAACCTCACATAATTTTGCTTGATGAGCCGTCCAATCATCTGGTAAGTTTACTCATTTTTCTCGACCTAATGACTTAGATTACCTTTTCAGTTAGCTTGTTATTGTACTTGCACTGATTGAACTTATCGGAATATGGTTTTTACATTGAAAATATAGTAGAACTAATCAGTGACCACAGCTACAAGGCGCCTCTGTCATCATACATATAACTTCTAATGGAACAGAGACCAATCTAATTTTTCCAACTTGCAAAATGTTTGGAATAGAACAATTATGCTAGCCTTGTCAGTGTTTTTGTATTACAGTAATCTATAATACCAAGTAGTTCCTATGTCTATGCTTATAGGTAGTATTGGCCTTTGCACGTAATTAATGTGGACCTTTTCTTGTTTATAAATGTTTACTTCAAGTTTTGCTTGAATGACCAGTGACTACTCAAGTGTTGTCTTTGGAAATCGTTAGTTTCTTGTCCAAGGATAGATATGATTCTGCCTTTTCCCCTATCCCCAACTGTAGGATTTGGATGCAGTTGAGACGCTCATTCAAGGTCTGGTCTTGTTTCTAGGATGGATCATTTCGCAGCTAATAGCCCTCTTTTTGCCCTGATTTGCAGGTTAGTCATGATGAGCATCTAATATATGGAAGCGCGGACGAGCTCTGGGTGGTTTCTCAAGGCAAGGTGGTGGCTTTCCATGGGAATTTCCAGGATTATAAGAGTTTGGAAGTCCTGAAGGTATCTCCGGGGCTATTCTGTTCATCGTCTACACTAATAACGGTGGAGGACAAACATCCCAAAATGTAGCAGAAATTGGTTGAGTGTGCAGAATCTCTGAATTGCAGCGTCTGTGGATTAATTTGATTTTATTGTTCTGGGATCCCAACTCTGAACACATCAAACCCAGATTTGCAATTCTTCAATTCCAATTGAAAGCAAACTAGGCTAATCCTCTAGTTATATCTTGATCTCCGGAAATCTTTTTCGTCCTTTGCTTTGATCTGGCTTGTATTAGCTGTAGCACTACTCCAGCCGTTTTTAAATTCGCATCCTGTGATGCCATAGCAACTGAATTGTCAAATAAGCGACGGTTATGGCTTAAACCGAGTAGTTCGCAGCAAGTATGGAACTTTTATGGGAGCCTCTACAGGGTCTATTCGCTCTTTCATCCTGTCGCGACCTAAATTTTCTCAGGCTAATGGATTGTTAAGACTAAGCCTAACTCGGGCCCTCCCAAGCCCTACCAATTCGCAACTTAGGGTTTAAGTTTTTAACATGCAAAAGTTTTATGCTCGGAGTCGCCACTAATCAATTTATGGTAGGTTGATTAGAAACCTAAATAAAACATAGGGAGATATGTTTTATTCCTACGAACCAGAGATTCTAAGCCCGGGGACTTGATTACGCTAGATCTGGTCTAACGCCCTTTCGGTACCTTTTCTTTTCAAAAATGTTTTGGCAGGCAGTTTGGATCCATTTTGACTTAGTCACTAACATGTGAGGTGTTCATGCGAGTGCGCAAACCACCAATTTAACACCCAGAAAGCATTAAATAAATTGCAAGTTTGGAAGAATTACTTACCTGGAAGCAACGTAAGCATCTGCATTGTTAGCTAGAAAATCACATTGACACCCTAATATGATTTCTAATTAACAAGCAATTCACTCAATTTCTTTTTTTGGATTTTCACTTATTTAAATGAAATCTAGCCTATATGCAATGACATGCGAAAATGACATGCGATTAATGCAACCTAGCATGCAAACTATATGTCGTGCGACGACGTGACCTATTTCTAATGACAAGACGAATGATTATTTTTGGTATTTTCTCAATTTAAATTCGGAATAATAAAAATGCCTAAATTAACATGCAAACTATGATGACTTAATCTACCCTAGCATGATTTCTTTTTAGGATTTTTGTTAAAATTCGAAATAATGAATAACCTGAATAATCTATTAAGATTAGAATATTACTTAATTTAAACTAGGAAATAGATCATCTCAAGTCCTAATTTAAATTAAATAACTACTCTATCTTCTAGATACATTTAGGCTTCCTAGACATGCAAAAGCTCTAATTCAAATCTAATTAATATTTTTTTGAATTTTCTGTTTATTTGAAAAAGGAAAGCAATTAAATAAACAAGGATAGCAACCACATTCAAAACGTCCACGCGATCCGCCATATTTGTTTCAAACTCGGATTAGGCACAAAAATCAAACTATCAGTCATATCTATAGGGTTATAGATATCGACGGAAAGCCGATTATTCAAATTTGGAAAGCGGATAAAAATCATTATCGTACCCAAGTGGTTATGGATAGGATAATAATTTTCCGTATCGCCGCGTATCGAACCTTAGGGATAAGGTCGGATAGTCGTCCAGATACGTTGCTAAATTAGGAAGTTTTCCTAATTTTGAGTGTTTTCGAATATTGCGGATATAACACACATTATCCTAAGATATCTAGCAATCCACGCAATATTCACGGAATATTCAAAATATCTGAACTAGGAATCTAAATATTTTGAAAATATACCGGATAGCATTCTTACCTAATTTCGGGATATTCCCAAATTTGAACTCGCGGACCGAGATTGCGGATCGGGATGATGGCGAGTGGACTGACGGCGGCTCGGGGGTAGCAAGATGGCTCTTTGAGGAGTACCCACGACGAAGTTCAATAAACCAGGGTCAAAATTGGGCGTAGCAAGATGGTCTTCAATATTCCTGGATTAAAAAAATATGGTCAAAGAGTCAAGTAATGAAGCTTTGACCCACGTTGAACCGGACAAGCCTGGGACTTGTCAGGTATTGCTGGATTCGGATGAAAATCACCCAGAAATCTTGATCTCGCCAACCAACGATTGCTGGGGGTGGCTCACTAGTATCAGATCTCGCGGTGAGCGTTGGACTCGTATGAACCGTCACGGATTAATCTGCAAAGCAGAAACAGTGAGGACTTCACGGGGGGCTTCGTGGCTGGTCTTTTATGCGGTAGCTGCTCGGCAGAGACTTCTCGGATCAGATGCAGCAGCTTCGTAGGAGGGGCCCATCCAGCAACGTGGTGATCAGCAGGATAAGCAGAGATCGGAGCGAGGGGGGGTCGTGACTCACGGCCACAGGTCTGGCCTTGAGAGAAGCAGCGACGGGCGGCGGCTCGGCAATCAGCAGAGGGACGGCAGCGTCACAGAACAGTAGCGGCAGCAGTCCGCACGGTACGGATGACGGCGTCGGTGCGGATGCTGGACGGCACGGGAGCAAAGTGGCGTGGGCGCGAGGCAGCGCGGCGTTGGGGCAGGCGCGCGCAACCAATTCTCTCTTGTTTTCGCTCTGGCTCTCACCTTTTCACTCGTGTCTCCGGGGTGGCAGTGACGCACGGCCACAGGTCTGGCCGTGAGCGGGTGCGGCGTCGGTGAAGGCGCAGTGGGACAAGTACACCCGTGATCCTCTCTCTCGCTCTCGTTATTTCTTTTCTTCCAAAATTCTCTCCGAACCCCCCTTGTCTCTGATAAGTCTTCTTTTTTATATGCAGGGACGACTTAGGCCTTCGGGATAAAGGGAGTCAATCTTCTTTCCTCTTAAAAATATATTATATTTTGTTCTTTCCCATTCTTCCTCCA